GACCGGATCTAAAGTGCCCATCGAGAAGTAGATCAACGCTCCGGGTTTTGCGGCCAACTCTGTCGGCACCGCAAATGTCTGGTCACCGCCGGTGCGCTTGAATGCGTCAAAGCGGACATAATTGCGACCCAACGGCCGTATGTCCTGATAGTCCAACTCCTGGGGAAACGCGTATAAATTGAGATAACGCAAGGCGTTTTGGAAACAGTTGTCGGGCAGTGGTTCGCAGCCCCGGCCGACCACCCACGCGTTGAATGCCAACCATTTCTCTCGAGTCACGTCTCGAACGGTTTGGCGAAACTCTTGCCATAATCTCTGGTCTCCCGTAGCGGACAGTCCTATGGATTGTGCGAATTATTTAACACGTAATTTATTTTGTTTTAGCATAAATCAAACTAATTGTGTTTTAGTCTCGTAGATTTTTCTTGTATATAATAAATATCTAAATTATATTTTTCTGAGTGTAACCTGATTTTCCTGGCGGTGCCCTCTCATCGTCGACCATCACGAGTGGGCCGACACTCCACGACCAGACGCAGGGCAGGCCAGACAACTCGGCGGCCGGCAGTGTCACCAATTGGTTCAGTACGATAACGTCGGGCCGAATGGCGGGCAACAGACGGTCCAACTCTTTATCTAATAGTTGGGCGCGTTTTGTCCAAAACTGGCCGTTTTGAGCGCCGAGTGTCACCTTTTGTAGGGCCGACCCGTCGTCACTCAATACCCGCAGTAGACTCGTGCGGATCTCGTTGTCCATCAGAGGGTCCGATGCGGCCAACGGAACCTCTTCGATACCATAGGGGGTGAGTCGACCCGACCATTGGTTGTCCACCAGAAACACCACGTGGTGTCCGCTGGCCATCAATCGCTCGGCAATTGCGAGACATGGGTTAATGTGCCCCTCGCCAAACATTGGCGCGAATAATACTTTAAGTTGTTTAATTGCCATGTTTGTTTGTTTTTTACGCCAAATATATTAATACAATGCTTCGCAACGTTTACTTTGTATTTGTAACCCGTTTTGTAATTAAGAAATTAATTAAATAAAGTGTTGATCTCAACAAGAATTGTGCCAATCATTGGGCAATAATTAGTTTAAAAAATTAATATATATATATTTCTACAGTCTAGACATATTATTGTCTGGTCTAGGTATGTCTAGACATGGTACCATAATGACTTTTGTTAAATTAGTAGCATTGATAATAATTGTTTGATTATGATAATTGATTTTTATCACTTTTTTAATTAATAAATTAATTTGTAAAAGTGTTGATCGTTACAATAATTATGTTAATAATGTAAAATTTACTAAATATAATAAATTGCTAAAACAGAAAATATATTTTAAAACTTATTAAAACATGATCTTGTTAGAGTAGTTAAAATAATTTTATTTTCTAATTTTTATCAAATACTAAATTCAAATTATCTAATATTTTTGTGTTTTAACAACAATAATGTTAATTATCGTTGACTTTTACATTGACGTGTAATTATGTCTAGAAAATATTAATATTCATTGTTTTTGATTTCAATTATGATAATCAATATTTACCACTTTTTTAATAAAGGTAATAATTAGAAAAAGTGCTGATCGTATCAGTAATCTGATAATACTGTATTATATTTTTAAAACCATAATAAACACTTTACAACACATATTTAGCAATTTTCAAATCCTAAAACTGAATATAATTTATGAAAATTAATGTCTCAATTGTTGGCCAATATTTAAGTACTATCTTAGTGCAAAAATACATTTAAAAAATATTGATTTTAATAATTATGTTTTGAGCTTTTTAGACAAGAATTAACATCTAGTAGTTTTTAATATTATAAAATTTAATATTTAGCAATTACACAATTTAAAATAAGTTATACCATCTTTTGAAACTTGTGGTTAATTTATGCAATACAGTAAAGTAAAAGACCTGTTTTATGAAGTAAGAGAAAATCCAGTTTTTGGTTTACACAATTGATATGTTCATATAGGTAATATTTTTTGAACATTATGTTTATGGTGTACTGTTGTTGAACAGCAAATATGGGCCAAACCGACACAATGTGACATTAATAAGAGCTGACCAAACAATAAATAATCTTACTCCCTCCCTCTCTCTTACTCTCTCTCTCTCTCTCTCTCTCTCTCTCTCTCGATTAAAACATCAAAGATCTACAAAATAAATGATCTATCTCCATTTCCACTTAAATTCCTATTTATGAAGGTAGAAGGCACTGGTATTACATTTACAAATTTAATTAATTTAAAATTATATTAAATTATAAACATATTTGCAATAAAAATGAAAACTGTTAATTAATTAATAATACAATGTTTAACACAAATAAGCTAATTAATTATCAGAATGTTTTATCACTGCCCATGGTGATAACAATAATAATTGGGCTAATAGTTTATTACATAATACATTTCTACGCCAATCTACGCCACTATCCGCCCGGTCCTACGCCTCTGCCATTCATTGGCAACATATTACGTAAATATAAACTTACATTTTAAACAATATATTTAAAAAATTAATAATTGTTTTAATTAAAAAGTGTTTCGCAATATTAAACGACACTTGAATGAGGACTTGAGACAGTTGTACGATATATACGGTCCGGTAGTGACGGTATGGGTCGGTCCCAAACCCGTTGTGATCGTCGGTGACCCGCATGTCGTCAAACAAGCATTTTCTCGGCCAGAATTCATGGGCCGAATGGACAACATGTTGTGTATGTGCAGAACATAATTGTACCATGATCATTGATTATGTATTTTATCACGTTTTTTTCTTCTTATGATTGTCAGCGAGTATTTTATGCGATAGCGAACACAGAGATCTCCTACTCAACTCACACATATCCAGTTGGGAAAGTTTGCGTAAGGTTGCTCACATAGCAGTCAGGTATGACATGATATAACTAAACAAGCTCAAATACTAATTGTAATCTTATACTATATATACTGTACAATTAAAGTAAAGTATATAAAGATCTATATAAAGATATATAAAGATCTATATAAAGATCTTTATATATATTTAGGCATAACAAATTTATAATGTTAATTATAATGTATATATCTAATTTATAAATTCATAACATTTTAATGATAGTGAATATAATTAATATTTGATTAATTAATTAACAAATCATATAAATTTTTGTAGGGTTGAGTTGAATTACTTTAATATTTTATTTTAAATTATAGCAAATACTCGAAAACAATAGATTTCACGCATAGAGTGAACGCATTGGTTGCGGACATCACTACACAAATGATGGCCAAAGAGGGCACTAATCGGCCGTTTGAACCAAAAACATATCTCTTAGATATGATTTTGAACACTATTTCGTTAACTATTTTTAATCACAAGTATTTAAATTAATAATAAAATAAAATAATATCAGATATTAATAAATGCTATTGCTTACCAGACTAGATCTAGAATATTTCACCAAGTTCAAATATTATGCCACTGGTTTTTTAAATGATATGGACAACACATTTATTCTGTGCGAATATATACCCGTTTGTCGTCTCTTTATGTCCGACCCGTTGGCAAAATTTCGCACAACTTATAATCAATGCTTTGATTATACGCTAAACGTATTGAAAACACACAAAAACACTTACGATGAGAGCGTTTGCCGAGACTTTTGCGATGTGTATATCGGCGCTAAACGTAAGGCAGAGGTCGAGTGCCTGCCGGGAGTCCAGTGGTTGACCAATAATAATATTGCCGCATCTCTTATGGACGTGGCAGTAGGTAAATAATTTGATTATGATTATGTAAAATTAAGTTACCTGATCTAAATTATTGTTATCATGTTAAATACTTGCGATTGCATTGATAGCTGGCACTGAAACCACATACACAACAATTCAATGGATGGTATTATTTGTGGCCTACTTTGAAAACTGGCACCAAAAGCTGATGGTAGAGATCGATGAGGTGTTGGGCCATAGAGTGGCCACAATGGCTGACAGACCGCGAATGCATTGCGTGAACGCGTTTATCGCAGAGACCCTACGCTATCGCACCGCCGCTCCACTCGGGTATCCGCGCGTCACTCTATCCGACACAACAATAAGTACTTAATATACAGTTTAACAAAATTAACATGATAACATTTTAACTAATTAATTGTTAAAGTATTATAAACTTTTTAATTTATATTTTATTCATTGCTATTTAACCAAGGTGGTAATTATCTAATTGCCAACCAAACAATTGTATTGCAACACACATACAACATGCTTCTGGATGACAAACATTGGTCGCACCCGGACCAATTTGATCCGGCTCGTTTTCTAAACAACGATGGTCATTTTGTGACAGTACGCTCGCCGGCATTTATACCCTTTGGCGCCGGCCGTCGTGTCTGTATCGGAGAAGTGATGGCAATGAATACAATATTCGTATTCGTGGTCCGACTCTTGCAGTTAACACGCGATTACCCGACAAGACTGGCCGACAGATACCGTACGGCAGACATCTTAGAGCCGGTGAACGATAAGAATGTTTTAGTTCTGTTACCCAAAGATTTTAAAATTGTTTTTGAAAAAATTTAATAATAATAATATATTTTTCGTTATTTAAAAGGCTTGACAAACAGATTCTGGATTATCGTCTGAGTTCTGGCGATACTATTATAAGTTACTAGATATCAATAAAAGACACTATATTTGTAATTTAGGCGACATAAAAATATAAACTTAATATCTCGGGCTGATAACCAGAAACGATCGAGATATGACCAATTTTGTGATTTTGATTATATAATATAAAGTTGTTGTTTGTTGTATGTATGTATGTTGTTTCAGACAATGCTTGGATTAATCATCAGTACTGAATTGCTATACGCCGTATGCGCCCAATCACAAAAATGACCAAAACTCGGCCGTATTTTATATCAACTCGAGATATTCACAGAAATTTATTTTTTAAGTTTTAATTTACAATTTAAACTTAATTTTGTCGAAATCTGTGTTACGTAAAAGTTGTATTTCACTCGTAAGATGAAAATATGGCATTTATAATTTTTAACCCAGTTCAGTATAAATAATGTGCTTTATAGTATAGTTCTAGCATCGCTGTGTGTGAGTAATACCCTAATTGTGGTTAACGTATAGCATCGCTGTATATACTGTATGTTTATTTGTAAAACATTGTGTAATCAATAAAATTGCAATTTAATTTAGGAATATTCCATATAATTGCTAAAATTGTTAATAATTATAATCATATAAACAAAATTGTAATAACATGACAGTGTTAATAACAATATGGATTTCATTATACATTATTATGTATGAATCTATTTAATTATTTTGTTGTTTACATAACGGGTGGATTCGAAAATTTATGATTATATTTGCATAATAAGTTATTATTATTATTATATATTAATAACTTATTATTGTTAAGATATAATTATCTACTCCGTCAAAAAGTATAGGCGTTTCAATTTGCATAAACTTAATTTGGGATACCCTTATTTTTCAAAAATTGGAAGAAGCGCATTGAAACCCTTGAAATAATTTAATAACTTGAACAATTTATAAATAACGTAAATCGTACTAAATTTCTAATTTTATAATTTCTGTACTCTGAACTCACAAGCTAGATCAAATCTGTAAAAAGTAAAACAGAGTTCCATATGTATAATATAATACTTTGTTATGTCACGGCTTCTGTCGGTATAGACGGTGGACACTATCTAACCGATTGCGCCGCTTGTTGTGGGGTTGAGAGGCCCGGATAGGCCGTACAACCGTATCGGGAACTGAACTGTTTTACCGAACAGTGCAACAGTCAGTCCTAATACTGGCCACAACTGTGTGAGTCGGGGATCAAAATACAGTGATAAGACTCGGCGACTGAACAGTTCAGTTCGTCGTCAGTCTTAGACCTAATTGACCACCGATTCGAGTGATTTAGGACTTAATGATCTCTCAGTCTATTTGCAATGACTGAGTTAATGATAACAACAACTGAATCAAAACTAATCACAATTTATTGAACAATAAATGATTGCATTCAGGATCTGAATGAGAAGAATGACTGGACAGTCGGGGAATTAGACAAAGAGTTTAGTGATAATTACAATCAGGATCTGATTGGAGTCAATGAGATATCCAACTGAACAGTTGAGTGACTAAACAAAGACTGATTGACTATAGCATTGAGGCTATGAGTGAAATGCGTTACAAAGGAAAAGGAAATACAAATTCAAACGAATAGAGAAAGTACTGGAAAATTACAGTTAAAACATAAATGATTACAAATGTATAGATCATTAAATAACGTCTAAATAAGAGCTGTAAGAACTTGATAGATTTTTGTGGGAAAAAAATTATTGAAATCATGTGATCAAAACACAAAATATTTTGGTTAAACTAAATTGTTATGTTTTTGCCTACTTCAAGAGGGTTAAGAATGAGGCAGGTCTGTGTCTGTGTAGGTAAAATGTGTCTATAATAACATAGTTTGATTAGGATTTGTTCAGCTATTTAAGAAAAATTAGTAATTCTGTTAACATTAGATTTATGGGAATAATGATTCTGGAGTCGAGTTTTTATAAATACAAAAATGTAGTATTAAATAAGCAAATTAGATAATTTTGCTCAAAAATTATGTCAAATGTTTTGAATATATTGTTCGTTACAAAATATATCTATGTCATCTACACAGACACATCCCCGCCCCTTCCTGTCTCTCCCTCCCAAGGTGTGTACAAACATGACAAATAGGTTTGACTCAAAATATTCTGTGTTTTAATCACATATAGAATTATGTTTTACTTGTTACATATTTGACTTAATTCGTTTAGTTTGGGAGAAAACTGATTTTGCGAGGCGCGTATACTTTTTGACGTATTAGATATCTATATAATGAAATAAAGTAAAATAATTATAAAATCAATTATTAATTAAAAAAGCAAGCTATGATAAATGTTATAAATATAATTATTATTTTTACACATTTCCATTCGTACTTATAACTTTTACTATGTAAAGTTCAATCAATATTAAATAGCATCTAAATAAAATTTTTCAATTTTATACTATTCTAAAATAATAATTTGCTTATTAGCCATTTAAAAGTAATTTTTAAATTAATTATTATAACAAAGATTTAATAAATTTAAAAATGTTATCCAAGACTAAAATAATGGATTTTGCATCAATGACATTGTGTTTGTTTGGATTCCTATACCAAACGTATGAAATCAGTTTAATTTACTTTTCATACGAAACCACAACAAACGTAAAGCTTGAATCAAACTCACTGGTTACATGCCCGGCTCTTACAGTATGTATAAACACCGAGAGCATAATAAAGCCAGATCTAGCTAGGTTATTCACTACACCTAAATACCCAAACAAATTTGATTATACAATATTTATCAACCAATCGGTGGCCAAACAATTGGCATCAATTATACCACACAATCTTCTATTTAATTGCATTTACATCAACTCAAATGGGATAACCGAGATGTGCGACAAAGTCAGCGCCTATCGCATATCAATTAATAATTTTAAAAATAATGTTTGTTTTACCATATTTTCTCGTTGGTCGGCTGAACCACAAATCAAGTATAGCAAGAGCGATTTTCTAAACAGACCATTTATGGTATTGAAATTTACAAATAAAACAATGATATCGCGGAACAAATTTATGGTACGTCTTCATAACCCAATTGAAAGGGTTAGGGATTTTTATAAGAAAAATTACATTATTGTAGACTTTAAACATAGTAGTGTATGTAAAGTAAAGTATCGTACAACCACCATGATTGATAAACGCCAACTGCAGCTTAATAATAAATGTCTTGCAAATCAAGATCGAGATGATTGTGTGATAGAATGTACAATTCGAAAAGCATACGTCACAAATGGCAAATTTCCATCTCGGTATCTGATATACGCCGACGATTACAAAAACAACATATCGGGTTATGCCGTTTATGGGTCTAAAGATTTTCAGCATATTAAAACTGATTGCGAAAGTGAATGCCGTAACCGAATAAAGTGTATTCAACACTACTATTCTGTTGATTATGAATATGGTACTAATAGTCCACGTTCAACATATTCATTTCAACTATATCTACCTTCAGAGCCCGATATTGTGTACGAGATATCATTGAAAATGTCATTTGAAGAGTATCTGGTGTTTTTGGGATCACTTGTGGGCCTATGGTTTGGTGTATCGGTGCTTATGTTCACTAATCTATTCACACATTTATTCATTAAATATAAGCCGTATATTTGTAATAAACGGCAAACAAATAATACAATGCTATTCACTGTAAATAATATGAAATTTAATGTCACCCCTAAACGAACTCGTGTTGCTAGCGCTCTTACCTAATATGAATTCTATAAACTAGCATTTTCATACAGATATCTATTTATTAAACGTAATACGTAATATTCTGTATTCAGATATAAATATATGAGCCATTGCATTAGTATTGTGATGATTAATAGATTATTCATAAATAAAGAAATTAATTTTTTTGTGCATCACCTGAATAACAGTTCGTGAGGGCCGCGTTCCAGCTCTGGTATCTCAGCTAATAGAAGTGCACCTTATGCTTATTACCATCATTATTATTATGGCCATCACTTTTACCACGTTTTGCAATGTCTTTGGCAAACAAATATGTCGGACACTTCATGAGTACATTGCCGTAAAAGGCATAAAGTCTGTTTGACGGCCAGTGGGTTATGCCAACTCGTCTGGACTTCTGCCGACTGGTCTGACCCTTGCGCCGACTCGTCTCACTCTAACGCTACTCGTCTGGACTTCTGCCGACTGGTTTGGCCCTTACGCCGACTCGTCTGGACTTCTGCCGACTGGTTTGGCCCTTACGCCGACTCGTCTGGACTTCTG